TGAAGGAACAACTACTTATATTCACAAATCAAATCGCTAAAAATCAGAAATGAAAAGCTCTTATAACTATATACATATATATTCCCTTTCACTAAAAACTAATATTCCCTATTTTAGCATTATGTTACAGAGTATACAGGGAGACAATAAAACTACCCACAACAACGAAAACTGTCACAATACGAAAAACAAACAGAGCTTAATTGAAAATTTTATTTTCATTGCTCTCTCTCTCTCTCTCTCTCTCTCTCCCACACACACTCCCGCTCTGAAATGATAAATTCTCTCTTTTATTTATTATTTCTTTTTTTTCTTGTATTTTGGGTTCAACATTTCGCTGTGGAGGATCGCGTCGCAAAGTTCGGTTCAAGTTCTTGCAACATGTGTTAGAGTCTAAAATTCCGAAAACTCGCACAGAACTTTGTTTATTTTTCTATTGAAATAGAAACTAACTTGAAAAATTTGGAAGGTATACGAGATGTTTGACAATGTGCTCTCGCTTGTTATCTCAATTTGTGTTTCAAAACAAAAGAAAGCAGTGTTCTATCAAATGAAAACATAGAGTTTACAAATGAGTATAAGTTTTTAATGTAAATATTAAATCGGATATATAATAGAGAAAAACTAATTTTTATCCACCGTTATTGGAGTGCTTAAATTTCTTAGTTGTTCTTATATTAATAAGCTGGAAATATGTGCAATGTTTTTATCATGAAAAAAAAAAAGCAAAAATGTTTTTATATTAAAAGTTTTCGTTACTTACTGATTTTAAAACATTCAAAAATGTTAACAAAAAGCACTTTATGATTTTAAGAATTATATTTTGAGTGTTTATCTTCTAAGAGGGATTTTCCCTTAAAGCCTGAGTACCATTTTTTCACACTGAAAAATAGTATAAAAAGTTGGAAAAGTTGTTTTATATCAACAACTTTAAGAGCATCGCCCAATTTTTGTTTTGACGATTTTCTTTCTTTATCTTCACCTTCAAGTTCTTCGCGACTCACTTTTAATTGAGTCCCTATGCTACCTAACCTAGTATCTCCTTAGCTCGGAGTATATTCTTTAATTTCGACCTTTGCAATGAAGCTTATCTTTTTTGCTTTTGTTAATTTTACAAAAGAAACTTGAATTGGTCGTAAAAATTATATATACTTTATACAGATATGCGTATTCCCCATTTGGGCGCTGATAGCGTCTGTAATTTGGATGATTTTACAACTTTTTCACTTACAGCGAAATGGGCATGATAATACTTAACGTTATACGAAAAGAAAACAGGAAATGGAAAATTGTAAATCTGGCAATTAGAGCGTTTTCTGTTTTTATGTTTATCAGGAGCTAGAAACAAAAACAACTATAGATTGTGTTGGGCATAAAAACTTACTGAATGAGGAAGATGAAATCTGGAATGACTTTATGTTTTTTATGCTAGTTAGGAAGCAGAAACCACTGAAAAGCAGAGTCCATGGATAATGGTTGGCATGTAACAGAAAGAAGGAGGCGTGGCAGAGCATAAAATATGTAGTATATGACAGGACGTCAAGCTACCTCTGTCTGTCTATCTGAGAATCAATTGGAGACTATTTCATGTAGATCCTACTATAAGACGCATAGATTAAGATTCCTTTGAATGGTCTATGATATATATAGATATGAATATAGAGTGCAAAACTGGCAAGAGCTAGAGTATACGATAGTCGGGTACACTTGCCTTTGCCTCAAAGAAATATTGAACGAAATCTAGAGGTGATTTGATTCGAAATACTCAACTGATCTCCATATATATATATATATATGTATATATTTATATATGGTATTTATACATATGATTAGCACATTTTATTGTACATTCCAAAATTAGCTAATAATAAAATAATAATAATAATTCTAATTATTAATTGTGTGTTTTGTGTTCCGCTTTGCAGCATGGATGCCCCCACTCAGTCGATATACCCGCATTCCGCAACGCTTTTCGCTGCCATCTGTGCCTGCGTATTTGTGACCATCGGCGTGTTCGGTAAGTGGAGATTGGAGAATTAGAATTAATTTAGATTTAAAATATATCAAATCCATTGATTGATAGATTGCGCGAGCCTCAAGGAAATCGCTATAAAAACAAATATATATAAATAAATTATAATTGCATAAAAATATTACGTAATTTCTTCTGGTTTTATCGAAAAGTTGCATCTATGCCATTTGATACTATAATCGTAGAATGACAATTCATTCATTGCTAAATGCTTATTGTTAGATGACTCAGATGATGCATAAATTACTGCCGGTCAACAGAGTCGGCAGTTCGGAATTTCCATGCATTGGGCCAGGGTCCAAGACGATTCATAATCCCAAAGCACATTTATATCGAATATTTGAAATTATAAACCTTATCGATCAATTAACCGGTTTCTGGTATTTGGTTATCGAAAGTAGTAGCACTATTGTCTGGTCACCCTATAGTAGAAATACGATTTCCTAGTCAAAGAGTACACTAGTAGTCATAGCTATCTATCTCATACTCTTTTTACTCTGTTTTTCTCTTCTCTCTCATTCTCTCTCCACCTCATACTTTCCCTTTCTTTCCTTATCTCGTGGTCTCATTCTCTCCCTTTCCACCTTTCACCTACCATCTTTTGCCCTCTCTCTCTTTGGTATCTCACCTTCTCACCGATATTGAAATATCTACCTCTCTTTTTCCTATAATACCTTTCACCTACCATCTTTTGCCCTCTCTCTCTTTGGTATCTCACCTTCTCACCGATATAGAAATATCTACCTCTCTTTTTCCTACACTCCCACTTTCTCTCCCCTTCTCCCTTGCTCTATACTCACATACTCATCTTTTTCTTCTAATCCTTCGTCTCTATCCTTCTCTCTATTTTCCGTTATTGTCTGTCTCTTTCTATCTTTCTCTTCTCAATCTGCCTCCCTTTCTATATATCGTCTGAATACATTTCAATCAATTTCCAGGCAATCTGATAACGCTGCTGGCCCTACTGAAGAGTCCGACGATACGAGAGCATGCGACAACGGCATTTGTCATATCTCTGAGCATATCGGATCTATTATTCTGCTCCTTCAGTCTGCCCCTAACAGCCGTTCGGTTCTTTCAGGAGGTGCGTCATCGAATTCTAGATGGATATTGCAATCAAATTAAATACTTTATATCCATTGCAGAGCTGGACATTCGGGACAACGCTGTGCAAGATCTTTCCCGTCATCTTCTATGGTAATGTGGCGGTCTCTTTGCTCAGCATGGTGGGCATTACACTCAATAGGTAGGGACTCGATCTCGAATAGGAATGGGACTCGAATCGATATACAAAGACTTCAACAACTATTTTTAGATAAACTAATCGACCTTCATTTCCATTTATCAGATATATACTCATCGCCTGCCATAGCCGATATTCACAGATTTATAAGCCGAGGCTAATAACGCTGCAGCTGGTCTTCGTTTGGGCAGTTTCTTTCCTGTTGCTGGTAATTTTCAAATGAGTCTAGAGATATATGTATAGTATCTACTATATACCATCTGCTGATTTCAGTTACCACCGATTCTGGGCATTTGGGGCGAGATGGGCCTGGATGAGACCACGTTCTCGTGCACAATATTGAAGAAGGATGGGAAATCGATTAAGAAGACGTTGTTCATAATTGGTTTCCTGCTGCCGTGTGTGGTTATACTTGTCTCCTATTCCTGCATCTATATAACTGTACTTCATCAGAAGAAGAAGATACGCAGTCATGACAATTTTCAAATTGGCGCCGCAGCCGCCGCTGCCAAGGCGGCTGGATCAGCATCTGGATCGTATGTGACCACAGTGAGCACTCGCAAGGCGCGCGAGGATAATCGCCTCACTGTGATGATGGTCACCATATTCGTTTGCTTCCTCATCTGTTTCCTGCCCCTGATGCTGGCCAATGTGGTGGATGATGAGCGCAACACCTCATATCCCTGGCTGCACATCATTGCCTCTGTAATGGCCTGGGCCTCCAGCGTCATCAATCCGATTATCTATGCGGCCAGCAATCGTAACTACCGGTAAGACTCAGCACAAAGAACGAGCCATTTTTGTTTGTTTTTTTACATCCGTACGTTTCTATTTTTAGGGTCGCCTACTACAAGATATTCGCATTACTCAAATTTTGGGGTGAGCCGTTATCGCCGATGCCAAGTAAAAACTATCACCAAAGCAAAAACTCAAAGGAATTATCGGGCGTTATTCGCAGCACGCCATTGTTTCATGCTGTTCAGAAGAATAGTATTAACCAAATGTGCCAAACATATTCAGTATGAGTCTTTTGTATTCGAATTTTGCAATACGACATTAACTACTTATTAAAATATACAATTTTTTTTAAATTAATTAATTATATATTCGAGCGCTTAAGAAAAAACAAACAAATATATACATAGATTATTATATTGACGATAATATAATGAATTCGTACCTTATTTAAGAAAGGCAATCAATACAGCTATAAAATAGCTAAAATGTACAGCACTGTACATACGGTTTAGCTCGATGAAGTAGTGATGGCACTGTGCAGCCAAAACTCCAGCTAAAAGACGTAGCTGAAACAAGCTAAAATACCAGCACTGCTAATGCAAACACTAATAAGGGTGCGCTAATTAGTTAAGAAAGTCATTTTAAGCCCGCCAAATAAATAATTGAAAGACGGTGATTTTCTGCTCATGAGCTGAATGAACGCGTTCAGTAGTTAGCTGTCTTATGGCCATTGAAAATTGGCTTTAAACGATGTTTAGGTGTTGTTATGTGGTAGAATTGTCAAACAACTGAGACAGTAGCTACTGAACGCGGACATTGTAAGCATCGTTCTTTATGTAGTGCTTATGTAGAGAATGTAACAAAATTATTGAAAATTGTATTAGACGTTCCGTGCAAACATATGTATATACCAGATCCCAATGTATGTATGTATATGAGCGTGTGTACCTAATAGCGACCGATCCCCAAAGTATGTGAGTGCATGTGCAAGTGTACATACATATGTATGTATTAAAGACTATGTGCGTGAGTACTTGTGTATGTGTGGATGCAGCTTAACACTGCCTGCCATTGTTGGGTTGATCAAACAATTCGGCATTGAAAGTTTTATCATCATATGGGAACGTCTCAATGCTAGTATCCTCATTGATAATTTCAAGTATTTTGTGAACTACCTCGGGATTAGTCTCTTGATTTTCTTCGCAAACGACCTTGACATCGCGCAACTTCGAAGCATACAAATCACGCTCTTGTTCAACACGTTCCAACTCTTGAAGAACGCCACGCACATCGATATTCTCATTTGGCACATCGATATGATCCTTCTCCTTGCGATATGTCAAATGAGCATCGCTAACGAAAGTGCGAGTGCGCACCTGATGAGCGCTATACACAGAGCGTGCGCTGTGCGATTGATTCTTGGAATAGCTGCCAGTGCTCGGACCGAAGCTCATCGACATGCCATCACGTGCGGCAAGGGCATTGTATGCCTTTCCCTTGTTGTTGGCATTGAAGAACTTGCGGAACCATTGCAAGAACTCAAAGTTGTCCTGAAAGCGTCCCTTGATCAAACGCTCAATCGGAATTTCCTTATGGACGGACTTCTTCTGGAAGCTGGCTTGCAAAAGCTTGAAATTGTGCACGAATTCATGCTCCTGATTGGCACGAAACTTGATGCGCTTGATAGCAACCGAACTCGGGAACAACATGTCCATGAATTGACAATAGGCAGCGCCTGGCAGAAAATAGAAAAACAAGCGGAAGTTTCCGCAATGTCCAATATGTTTGTGTATATCAACTACCTATGCCCATTGGCTAAGGACTAAGGCACATACCTGTGCATAATTCTTCGATCTTAGTGAATTCAGCCTTCAATTGAGTATTGACCCAGTTCAACATCTCATGGCGCGACCAGTTCTGCGATGATACATTAGTCGAATGCACGTTCACGGCCATTTTGGTTGGGATTGATTCTTTAGATTGGAAATATATAAATTTTTTTATTTATGTATGTTGTTCCGTATGTATTCGAGTTGTGGGAATAATTGATCTGTGCCAACTACAGCTTACTACATTACTAAAGGCAGTGTATATAAAGCGAAGCCAACTACGATACGTCCAAGGGAAGAAAAGCAAGTTTGATCAGGTTTTAGTAGAAAAATGTCCCAACGAAACCGAAAGTGGCTGCAATTTATTAGCCCTCCTGTGTCTTGGCCAGCAATTGCAGCATATATACCCTTGACTTGGCTTTACGGCATTACTCTCTATACTTACAACTGGAATTTTGTGTTACTTACATTTGTAAAGTTGAATAGTTTTGCAATTGAAAATCGCTTGATGTGTGCAATGGCTGGGCTCGTGTCAGTTTCTGAGTGTGAAATCTTGGACAGCTCTCGGAAATTGCTGGAAATTATGTTAACAGCGCCAAGTGAACTCCTGGAAAGGAACACACACACACACATATATACTAATATGATTCTGTCAATCACAGGACCAGCTAGCCCGGTGTCAGTGTTGCTAAAGGTGCCGGCACGGCAGACAAGTAAGACCGTTGCTCTTGGGCGATTCCGGCTGCAAAATACTCATTCATAGTCAAAACGATACCGGCTCCAATTTTATATTTGCCACGCCCCCTCCTATCGATATATGCATACGGACTTTGGCAATTGAATATTGACCAAGTTTTTTATTTTGAGGCCTGGCTAGATAAATCTGTAGCATCTATAAGAAGTGCTCAACATATTACTGAATTTCCTAGGCGAGGATAATTCCACTCTATGTAGAACTTTATAGGATCCTAATAAGAACTGAATTGCCAAATGTTTAGGATCTACCTTTCAAACAAGAATCAGTTTTAGTCGATTTACATCTCTCTTAATATGGGCTCTTAAGTTTTAACCAAATGGCAATTATTTAGCACTCCAAATTACACAGATTCTTGATATACCACGCCCGTACTGGGCGCATTGGCATGATCTATACATCCGACAAGGGGTAGCATTCAGATACAAGCAATATTCTAAATGGCAAATCTCTAGCTTCAAAAGCGCGCGTTCATACGGACGGGCACAAAATCAATATGCTTGCTTCGCTTTGTGAAGGAGCATAACAAGTTTCCACAGCTTATGCACACACATTTACACGCGGTTTATCGTTTAACACAATATATATAATATATATACACATGGATGTTCACATTTAAAAAAAATGGTTTTATTCTTATTCCTTTTGCTTTTGTTTTCAGGAGAATTCTTAGCGCACACTAATTGGCAACAACAAATTATTGCTGCCTTTTGGGTATTTAGTTCCAATAATTTGTTTTCTATGCTTTAAGAGCATATTTGCGTTGTGGGAAGATGGAACGCTTGCGGATTTCCTTGAGGGTCTTGCGGTTGGCATCGCGTGGCGACAGGGCCTTACGCATCGCGCGTGTCTTCTTCTTGCGCAGATCCAAAGGCTTGTACTTCTTGTTCTTGAAGACCTTGCGCAGATTCTCCTTCTGCTTCTGGTGCATCACAATGTAGACGCGTGCGATGGCCTTGCGGACAACGCGGCTGCATGAAGCAAGCAAAAAATTCGAGGAAAATAACACACATTAGTCAAACATACAAAAGAATGGTAGGAGAGGAGTGTATGGCCGACTTACATCTTGGACAGCTTGGATGGTGCTCCACCGGTGACCTTAGCCACACGCAGATTGAGAAGCTCATTCTTGAGCTCATCCAATTGCTTGGTGAGCTCCTTCTTGTCCTTGGTTCTCAATTCTGAGCACTTGATCTTCACCTATGCGAGAAGAACAAAAACAATTTGCAGAATATTATAGTAAGTAGTTTATTAAGGTGTACACGCGAAAAATAATATTCGACACAAAAAGTATGCACAGTTTGATTCTTGTTTCATACATTTCTTTGTTATTTCGTGCACGGATGTTATTTATTTTTAAGAATTATAATTCACAGAAACTTGGTACCAACCATTTTTCTCGCTGGTCACGTCAAAAAAGAAAGAACTAGGGCCGGACAATCGAACGAGGGCTGTCGTATGAAAACAAACGGCGATTTGACAAATGGCAATTGTGCCATTTTACAGCACTGGCATTTGGATAGCTCAACACTGTTGAGTGTGGAGCGATGCTGTTAATCGACACTGTGGCAACGCCAATATATCCAGCCCACGGCCCCCGCACAGCACAAGCAAATCCACTAATAGTTTAAGTTTAATCGTAAATGAACTAACTATTAAGAAAACTAAATAAAATAAATAGCCGACAAATCGCAAACATGGCTGACAGAGCAATAAAGCTACTCATCATAGGAGAGAGCGGCGTTGGAAAGTCCAGGCAAGCAATTTAACACAATTCCAATTACCATTTGCAATTGCGTATTTCATCTGCGCACGCATACACACATGTAAACATGTAAACACTTAAATTGAGATAAGCTTTTGCTTAGCCTTAGTCATACATGTGTTATTGTTTGTACCGAATTCGAATCTATTGTGAACCTTGTTTCTTGTTTGTTGCATATTCCAGCCTGATACGTCGTTTCGTTGAGAATAAGTTTGATGACAATCATGACGTCACAATTGGAATGGACTTTAAGAGTGCCATCATGAATGTGGATGGCATTGACTACAAGGTTGCACTGTGGGACACAGCGGGCGCCGAAAGATTTCGCAGTCTAACACCCAGTTTTTACCGAAAGGCGCTGGGCGCCATACTGGTGTATGACATCACAAATCGCGAATCACTGGTCAAACTGGATGCATGGATGGCAGAGCTGGACAGCTACAGTGATAATCCGAACATAGCGATTATTGTGGTCGGCAACAAAATTGATAAAGATCGTGTCGTTGACCGGGAAGACGGACGCAAATTTGCGCGCAAACATCGGGCGCTCTTCATCGAAACATCGGCCAAATGTGATCAGTTCGTTAGTGATGTGTTCAAGGATATTGTGGAGAAGGTAGGCATTTTGATGGGACTTTTTAAAATCTATTTTATGATAATATTGACAAATCCATTCCAGATTGTTTCATCAGAATATTTTGGTAACGGGAATACTTCGAACGGCATGACGATTGATAATACCCAGGATGTAGATTCAAGCCCATCGACGTGTTATTGTTGACGAGCGCGTTGTGCTTTTCCTTGGTTCATTCTGCTTTTCGATAATTCATTTTCTTAAATTTGTAGAGTATATTTATTTTTAACGTATCAATTTCAATTAAGTATAAGTATAAATGCCTTACAACATATCCCCAAAAAAACGAAATGCCTCGGTTTTGCAACGTCCGCTTCTGCTCGGTAAGCAACACGACGAAAATGTTTTTATGTACCTTAACTGTAAATATAATTATCCCATACACCAACGCAGCGATTGGCTAACAATAATTTGTTACAAACTTTTTTGTATATACCAAAATATATAAAGCACTGGATTGGTTCCGTTATTTTTAGCCCAGTCGCGCAAGCGCTCTATCCCTGTCCCCCTTGCTCCTGGCATAGTTTCAAAGTTCATTTTTTGTTTTTTGTCTCTTTTTTATTATTAAATTTATATGAAGAAATTTCTTCGTCAGAAAGCTCTTTGCGCTAAAATAATAAAAAAAAAATTAAATAGAAGAAAAAAAAAATAGAAAAGGAAAAAACGCTTTTTAGATAGAAATGTACATGGAGCACGATTGTTATTCAATTTCTTTTCATTCATTTTGCTTGGTGTTTGCGTGAGAGTGTGTGTTAAGGTGTATTTGTGAGTGTATTTACAAATATATGAATTTAATTTAAACTTGCTTTCCTTTCGTTTGTTGTAATTACCGCTAAAAACACGAGGTGACAAGATTGTTGTCAAGATACAATTCCAGACGTACGTCCTATGTATGTACATTTTCTATATATAAACATAGTGTTTGGTTTTGATTTTTTTTTTCGTATTTTTTTTTTTTTTTTGTTTTTGTATAGTATCTAGGCATTACAAATGTAACTTAAAGTTATAGCAACGTCTCCGTTATAGGCGCTGACATCTGTCTGTCATCTACTTGCCAGCGATGCCACTCTTTTTGGCATCCAGTTCGTAGATGAGCAAACGCCACATTTTCACCACAAACACTTCAGCCTCCTCGTCCAGCACCTAGTGGTAGTGAGAGCGAGAGAGAGAGATAGATAGAAAGAGTGTGTTGTTAATAAATGTTGAAAGTGTGGGGAATTTGATATTGTGCGGCACAATATATAGCGTATACTCACCATTTGGACATCGTCCAATATGCTTTGGGGCGGACTGCCGGCCAATACTTTGGAACATATAAAGTCCACTAACGTTGGCTCCGGCTCACCGATATATTCGATGATTTTCTTATTGATCCATGGACGTATTTTGCGCTCCATTAGACCGCTGTCAATCTCGTTGCGGTCAAGCTTATAATTAAATAGTTCCTCCTTTTGTGTGGGTATCCTGTCAATAATGCTTTTTATATGCCGACGTTTCTCATCATGCACCTTTGCACCATTCTCATCCTTTTTGGTGTTTGTCGCGGCGGCATCTGCGCCACCCGCAGATGCAGCTGCATCATTCTTACCATGGTGTTTGCTGCCGGCATTGTTGGCACCGCTGCTACCGCTGCCGCTGCTGCTGCCGCCGCCATGCTTGCCATGCTGGCTGCTGCTATTCTTGCCACTTGATCCGGAGGATGCTGAACCAGATCCATTGCCACCGCCCGCATTCGCTATCTTCTGGCTAACGGCAGCGGCAGCAGCTGTCGCCGCTGATACAGCAGAACTCTGACGCTCCGCAGCCGTCTGTGATGCGCTTATCGATGATGTGCTATTGCTTATATTGTCATCATAATCTGCAATGGACAAACCAACATATGTATATATTATTACAATGCTTCACATTTTGTTTGGTTGTGATCTATAAATCGGGTTTACTTGGGTACCTAATTTACAAAGATTTCTAGAATATTGATTGGGAGTACACTGGTATTCTTTGGCTACTGGCTATTCTAACATATATAGCTCTATATAATTAGAATAGTTACTGACATAAAATTTCCTTTGGATTTATGTACACCTTAAGCTGAGTATCCGTAGCAATTCCTTAACTTTTATAATGTATACCTTGAAACTTGACAACCTTTAAGTAATTCAATCAGTCTGAAATTATCACCTCGCATAATATAGTAATAATAATAATATCTCTCTCTACTTTTTTGTGATGTTAGCCCTATATAGAGCTACTATATCACCTTAGAGCCACTATATCTTAGATCTGAGATTATCTTATCAAGTATAAGTAGTATTAAATCTATTAATATGCTGTCCTACTTCAACCCAAGTCTTATATGTACAAAGTGCAGCATAAAAGCTAAGGAAATTTGATAAGTTTTATAGCGAAAGTCTATCCCATTATGACAATCTTGTCATATTTTAGGGCAACGACTAAACTTTCCTTGTCTACATGGTACCTAGCAATCCATGACAGTGCTGCTCTAACGCATGCCTAGACCCTACATAACTCTCTTCTCTATCCTCTTCCTTCTCCTCTCGCTCGCTCACCTAAAGGCACCAGCTTGCGCTTCTTGGGATTGATGTTCTCGTCGTTGTCGTCATCGTTGGTAAAGACGCCCGTTGTCTCGATCACCTTCTTCTTGAGACTGTTGCCGAGGGTGAGAGAGATGAGCGGCATGCTCATTGCCGAGGCGGCCGCAGCGGCTGCTGCCACCGTCTGATGGTCATTCTCTATGGCATTCATTGTAGGCGTATGGATGTTGGCTAATGAGTCCCTGGACTCGCTATTCTGTCGGCTGACACTGCCGTCGCCGCCTCCGCCGCCAGCTGGATTGCTGTTGTTGCTTATGTTGTTGTTGTTGCTGTTCTTGAGATGGGAATAGCCGCTGGCATTGGAGGCCGTGTCGGCCATAGAGGCGCGATCATCGTTTGTCGATATGGAATCCTCCGATGGCGGCGGCTTGTGCACCACCGCACCACCTCCTACGCCAATCACGCTGTCTCGGCTGTCATAATCGTCGTTCAGCTGTTGCTTGCGTCGCTCTGACTGCAACAGCTGCTGCTGCTCCTGTTGCTCCTGGTGCAGTGTCTCGGCATCACGTCGCTGCGCCTCCAGATTCACATTGATCAGAATACGCGGTTCGTAGAGCTTTTCGATTTCACGTCGCGCCTTCTCGAACTCCTGCGAAGGATTCTCATATTCGCCGCTAAAGATTTTGTTCTTCAACTCGGTCAGTTCGTCGGCCTCCTTTTCGCGATCCTTCGAATCGGCATCCGCTTCGCGCACCCGCTCCGCCAAGCGTTGCTGCAGCTCACGGCCTCGATAGTAGAGTGCATCGTCCCGTTCGTCATCGTAATCCTCAACGAATTCCTTCAAGCGTTTGGCGTCCTTTTCGCGCTCCTCCTGACGCAGCATCTCCTTGAGGCGATACTGCAATGATTGATGATAATTCGTTAAGATTAATATGATTTTAAAAAAATCGCTGATTCCGCAAGGAACCTTTCTCTATTTGACGGCATTTGCTTAAAGATAGAATATATACCCTAGTCTATTCCAACAGCCTTGACTTGTGCTATAATGACATTTCATTAAAGCCACTTAGCCTCTAAGAGATATTGCTCATATACCGTCTACTTCAAGCCTAATAGAGCCCACCTCCCAATTAGAATAGTTTAGTTACTACTACCATGGATAATATTTGGATTCACCCCAACTAAAGTTCAGTATGTCTCGCTCTTTACCTTTTCGTTCTCCTTGGCTTTGCGCTTCTCGCGTATCTCCCAGTTGGTCAGACGCTCCTGGTAGGCGGCCTCCTTTTCGCGCGCCTTCTTCTCGGCCTTTTTGCGCTCGCGCATCTCCTCCTCCATTTCCTTTTCGCGACGAGCATCGCGCACCGGCTTGATGATCTTCTCTTCGCGCTCACGCTCACGTTCACGCTCTCTGTCCCGCTCACGCATCTCGATGCGCTCTCGCTCGCGTTCTCGTTCACGTTCCCGCTCACGGTCACGCTCCCGCTCCCGTTCACGTTCACGCTCACGCTCACGCTCCTTGTCGCGCAGCTCACGCATCTCACGTTCACGCATCATTTCGCGTTCACGCTCACGATCACGGTCACGGTCACGATCACGCTCACGTTCGCGTTCACGATCGCGTTCCTTGGTGCGCGACTTGGAGCGTCGATCGCGACGTCGTCCCTCCTTGTGGGCGTCAGTGGTGCTGCTGGTGGTGCGCTCCTTATGATCCTTAGACAAGCGCGCAGGCGACTCATCGATGGTGACTATCGAATCCTTGCGACTGCGCTGATTGACTGAGTCCTTGCTGGGCTGATCCTTGTCAGTGATTTCCACAATTTCCTCCACTTCGCTGCCCACCGCAGAGGGTTTGCTAGCGCTGGCGCCCGCACTGGTAGCACCGGTGGCGGCGCTGCTGTTGCTTTTGCGCTCCGCTTCGCGCTGTTGTTTTTTACGCTCGCGCTCCTTTTCCTTCTCCTTACTGGCCAGCTGCTTCTCCTTTTCCTTCTCCTTCTCGAGCTCCTTGCGGTGCTCGTCGGCCTCGGCACGTTTGCGGAACTTGCCAATCTCACTGCTGATCAAATTGCGTTTCTCCTCCTCGAGCGCATTGTCGTTCAACGATTTGATCTTGATGTCATCTTCGCCGCGGCGCGTCTTCTTGTTGCGATTGCTACTGCTGCTGCTGCCATAGAGGTCGCCGCGATTGCTGCCATCGAAGCCCTCGAATTCGTGCTTGTGCTCCTCGAGCAGCTCGTGCATCTGGCTGGTGGCATACTCGTCCTCAGTCTTTTCATCCATGGCGTTGGGACCGCCTTCGCCATTCTTGCACTCCTTCTCCTTGTAATCCTCTATTAGCGTTTTGTTCTTAGCATCCACCTTAGCCACCAGCTTCTTACCATCAATCTCCAGTTCACTGAGCAGCCGCACAGATCTCATCGCCGCAATGGGACCGCTGCAGACAAGGGGTGCGCAAGGGAGGGAGGAGGGTCAATAAGATAAGGTTTATGACATAGCTTTATGTTGTAGCTTACTCGAATTCACAAAATCCGAACGTGGAGACACGCTTCCAATTGATGACAACGCCACAGGTGGCCAATATGCGCTTCAGCAACGATTCCGGGACGCGTTCACTAATGTTGCCCACAAAGACAGTGATGACTGGTCCACGGAACTGAGGCTGCGGCTCTGGCGGTCGATGATACACTGTTGGCTGTGAGCTGATCGTCGCCGAGTTGCGATAGCTGCGTGGCGGGGGTATGGGAGGCATCAGCTAGCATGCCAAGCGGTGAAAAAAGAAATTTTCAATTCTGGTCAACATTTTGGAATAATTAATAATATATCGACTTACATGCGGCGGTGGTATTGACGCATTCATATATGGCGGCATCGGCGCACGCGGTGGATATGACATTTTGGTGTTCCTTTTGTTGTGCCTTCCTGTTTTTAAATACTATTATTTTGAATTTTTGTATTTGTTGTTGGCGTGTGTGCGAATTAAAGCCGACACATTCATACACACCAACAGACCCTCGCTCACTCACACAAACACACACGCACACATGCACGCGCGCACACGAAGCAGGCACACACACGAGTGTGTTGGAGTGAACGTGAATCGTGTATGATAGATTCGTAGATCAATTGCAAATATGTCTACACAGCGCCAACAACAAGAGCGTGTACGTTCAAGCCCACCACACACGTATATTAGTCTTGAATCGCTTTTTTTGTCTTTCAATTTGTTAGTTTTTGTACATACATATGCAATTAAAAAAAACTACACGTAAAAAAGGCTGCTCTCAAATTTTCACCACTGCAGCCGCTGCCACATAGAGATGGGCAAGCGTATAAGCGCTCTTGTTATCGCTTGCGCGTGCGATATATGTACAAATGCAGTCCGTTGTGCGTTCACAGCTAAATGTCAATTTTTAGTGCTGTATAATTCGAAAAAATATACGATCAGCTGTTGAATTAAATGAAAAACACGCACAAATACAATAAAAACATTCGAGATTTTATAACAAAATAGAGTACATAGTTATAGAAAAGAAGAAAAAATTATAAAATATTTCGACATATAAACATCCTGGCAGCTGATATTGGCATTTAACAGCTGCTGACATTTGCTGCGGTTATAGAAAGCTAAGTTGAATTCTTATTATATTGATAATTTATTTTAATTATTATACAATGCGTCTGGGTGGTGTGTTACGATGCCGCAGCGTTATTAAACAGCAATATGTGCCGCAGCACAAGCCCGTTCTGAATGATGATATAAAACGCTTGGAGGAGTTCTTGCTGTCCAGACCAAATGTTTTGGTACTTACAGGCGCGGGCATATCAACAGAATCGGGTAAGCGCAAGCTAACTGCTATAGAACGAATTGAGCCGGACTAGCTCTGTAAGCGTTCTATAGCAATAAGCTTCTGTGAGTTTTCTAATGCATCTTGGGCGCAATTAATGAAAAGCGATTCGGAGCTTGAGGGAGTTCTCACTGTACATATATTAATATACCCTTCGCTTACTGGCAGGCATACCCGACTATCGTTCCGCTGGCGTTGGTCTGTACGCACGCACCAATCACAAGCCCATCCAACATAGCGAGTTCTTGAAATCCGAAGCAGTACGAAAGCGTTATTGGGCCCGGAACTTTGTGGGTTGGCCGAATTTCTCAGCGACCCAACCGAATGGTACACATTATGCTTTGGCGCGTTTTGAGCGCGAGTTACGCATCCAAGCGGTGGTCACCCAGAACGTGGACCGTTTGCACAGCAAGGCGGGAACCAAGAACATTGTGGAGCTGCATGGCAGCGGCTATGTGGTGAAGTGCTTGGACTGCGACTATCGTATCGAACGGCACGAGTTCCAAAACATACTCACCTCGATGAATCCGGCATTCAGCGATGCACCGGACATGATACGGCCCGATGGCGATGTCGAGATCCCAGCAGAATATATTGAAAACTTTCAAATACCCACATGCCCCCAATGCGATGGCAACCTTAAGCCAGAGATTGTATTCTTTGGCGATTCTGTGCCAAGGGAGCGACTCGATGCCATTGCCAAGATGATCTACACCAGCGACGGACTGCTTGTGCTCGGCTCCAGTCTGCTTGTCTTCTCCGGTTACCGCATAGTGCTGCAGACAAAGGACCTGAAGTTGCCCGTGGCCATTGTCAACATTGGAGAGACGCGGGCCGACCACTTGGCTGACATCAAGATCTCCGCCAAGTGCGGCGATGTGTTGCCCAAGCTCTTCGACTATCGCCCCGCAACTTAAGGAAAAACAACAGATTTGTAAAACTCATTAAACTGAAAAGATATAATTTATTGAAACATTGGAGAACTACATGTTGTTTTCGAAATATTGATCGATTTTGTCGTAGACGCCGCGATTGTTATCACGACACCAAATGTCGGTCTCCACCAGCTGCAGATGCATCAGTGTCTCTTCTGAGAAATCGCCAAGACGCTGATCGTCGAGGCCAAAGCGTAGGGTGCAGCTGCCAATGCACGGATTTTCTAGCTCATCATTGTATTCGTAAACAACAAGATAGAAATGGTCGTCGTTGATAAAGGATTCTCTCAACAACAACGGTGTCTTCAGGAAATTGGTCAGCAGCTGCTGTAGTGACATGGGCTGAGTATCTGGCAAGTCAATAACGCTTGACTCTATGGAAATTGGTGTTGAAGGCTGTAGCGGCTCCAACTGCTGTGACTGCTGAGTTTTCAATTCGTTTACCTCTCCGGAGCTGGGAACCTTTAGACGCTGCGAGGCCATATTATTTATGATGGTGGCGTTAATTAGGGAAGACTCGTCATCGGAGAGAACTGGGGAATCATCGTCAGTTGCGACGCTTAGCTCGTTGCAATGCTTAGGCATATAGAATGAAGAGTCAATGGTTTCATCTGATGTTAAATGGTGCTTGGGGTGCTGGAGCTTAGCCTCCACCTCGGCGCACATTTTGCATTTGAAATTGTTCGGTTCGTTGGCGGAGGCACGCGATAGACGCATTGTGCCCACATAGCACTTGTAATGTGTGCCGACAGCAGCGCAAAGGATGCAAGGCTGAATATTCCAGCTGTAGCGATTGAAGTCGCGGCCCTTTGGGCACAGGCATATGGCCTGCTCGCAGCGCATGCGACGGTTGTGTAGCTCGCTATAGGCGTTTGGCTGGCGCTCCCAGGTGGCATCACGGTCGGGCACGAAGACCGACTGAAGGCGTATGCTGTCATGGAAAGTCTTCGAGCGGCACCAGAGACACCGCAAGTAGTAGCCAGAGGCCAAAGCATACCGACGCATGCATGTGCGGTGGGCGAAGCCCTTGCGGCAACAATCGCCATAGGTTACATTATGGAGCATAAAAGGGGAGATCGCGCGGAAACAAATGTCACATAGGGCCGACTTGGGCGGATCAGCCAGCAGCTGCCGCTTGTAGTCATCCAACGGGGCACACTTCTCGCAGTAACTGCGGAAGTCATCACAGAATTGATAAACACAACGATTTTCCAGGCCACAGCTCATGTGGAAAACAATGCGGCACTTGAAGCAAATTACGCTGGCGCCCTTCTCGCGGCAGAAGGCGCATTTACGCTTCTGGGCAGCGGCTGCCTCCTGGCGTATGTCGCGCAACAAGAAGCCCAAAATTCCGCTCGAGTCGCCGCCGCGTTGTGGCAAGTTCGACGATAGCAGCTGTTGGCGGCAAAAAGTATGTGCATAAAGAATAATTTAAATGGTTTTTACTTACCAGACAATAGTAATGCACTGTTACATTCTGTTTGACCATCCATTCGCCGTAAAGTAATGCATCGTCCTCTTCTTCGTTTGCATTATTTCTATTGCATATATCACAAGTACGCATTTCGCTTTTATTTTATTATTCAAACTGTCACTGAAGCGATGAGAAGGCAAAGAATTGCATTTATCGATAACTGACATATTGAAACTCATTTTTATTGCTCAACACTGTTCGTTAGACTGAATATTTTCTACAAGCAGCTAACCCACAACACTGAAACACACACACATAAAGTCAGCAGCTACTACGACAACAACAAAAATTCGACGACACAACATAACATCAAGAGAGGCATTGACTAAGCTGACTGTTATTTGTATAAATACAGATAGAAAATAATAACACAATGGCGTATGACTTAAAAAAGGAGTCTGACGTTAAGGAATATGTGGAAAAGCTGGGCGTTGAATATCGCTTTGGTTGCTATTCTGAAAAGAAACCGGAAGGTAAATATTTACAACAACAACAACAACAGTAGGCGGCCAATATACCAACAGCAGCAGCAGCAACAACAATAACAACATAACCTAGGTTTTCTTGTATTCGTAATTGAATTACAAAACAAAACATGAACAACTTTGTAAATGATACATGAAAATTTAAAGCTGCGGATGAAACTCCAACCGATTGAACAATTTAAATATGCATTTGTTTTTACAAATATTTTCAGTGTGCCATTTGCTGGGCGATTATTTGGAGGGAATTAAGAAGGATTTCGAGAAGGCATCCAAAGTATACAAATCAACATGTGACGACTATGGATATGCCAAGTCCTGTTATAAATATGGCAACTATAGCTTCCTGGGTAAGGGTAAGAGCGGCAGCAAAGGCGAGCCACGCGTCGCCTATCAGTACTATGAGAAGGGCTGCAATCTGAACGATTCGGATGCTTGTCTGCATTCCGGTCTGCTGCTCGTCTCACGCTCCATGCCCAAAGAGATTGACCGAAATGTGCCTAAAGTGAGTTGGATCCAATTACCCTTAACCAGCCTAAACATCTCTTAATTCGATATGATACCGCTCTGATATTTGCAGGGTTTGCAGTTTCTCACCAAGAGCTGTGACATGAACAATGCCACTGCGTGCTTCTATTTATCTGGGATGCATATTTCGGGCGTGCAGAAGAAGCCGGAAGATGCGTCCGCCGCGGCACAGACCAAAACGCTTAAGGACACCGATTACATTGTGCTCAAGGACATGAAGAAGGCATTTCAGTTCGCCTACAAGGCGTGCGAATTGCGTAACATGTATGCATGCGCCAATCTTAGCCAGATGTATAAACGCGGCGATGGCATCGAGAAGAACGAGACGGAGGCGGAGAAATATAAGAAGCTGGCGCTCGAAATGCAAGAGGAGATGAAGAAGCAACAGGAGACGCTCAGTTTTCAACAGGGCGTCGGCATGCCAAACTGATTTATCCTATCAATATCTACCTATATGTACATGCGCAGGTGTACATATATATATATTGTCATGTACATGTATATATATATATATATGTGTGCGTGTATAGTCAATTTTCTTATAATTTTGTTTTCATCTTCTCTACTATTTGCGTATTTTGTTCCGTTGAGATTTCGTAAAGATTTGCTATAACTAATTTAAGTGGGTTATATATATATACATATAAATATATATACTATATATATATATAGATATGTATAGATATGTATATATATTTTTTTTGTTTTTTTTTTTCATGTATATAGACAGCGGCATTTGCGTTTTCGGCATGTGTTTTGAAAAACTCCTAGTTTTAATTGTTAAAGTTTAAACGATAAACCCGAGAAAACGATGAAGAAAAAAATCAACATACCTTATATAGTTCCGTTGATACCTTAATTAAATACAAAGAAACAAACCAAAATCATGCACAAACACAAATGACTTTCATATATATATATATATATAAAGCAAATAAAAAGCTGCAATGATAATGCTAATCAGAGCTGTGAAATATAATCCAAGCGTTTCAATATGATTAACTTATGCAGTGGATTCCAATCTGATTCTCAAATGGCATTTCATATTGCAAAGGGAATGCTAACCACAAT